AAAGATGTGTGAAATGCCTAATCCAAGAGCTCACAACGTTTATTTTCAGCCCAAAACAGGAAGGAACAACCAATCTCTACGTCCAGAAGTAATATAGTCCCCCTGTTTGCACATGTTAAGCTTACTGATTAATACATTTGTTTGTGTTCAGCATTTTATCTTCCAATCTAACTCTGGGCATTAAGAGATTCACCATATTTCCCAAAATGTCGAACAATCCCTTTTTAAAATGTGCTCATGCTACGGTTTACACAGGCCCAGTGTCCTTATCTGTGCTGTGTGTGTGTGTGTGTGTGTGTGTGTGTGTGTGTGTGTGTGTGTGTGTGTGTGTGTGTGTGTGTTGTCGTCCTGAATCTGCAGTCACCCTCCCCTCTCATCTAATTGTTCTGCAAAGCCCCGCGAGGAGGATTGTGGTCACAGTTGTCTTTGTCCTTGGATTGGAGCACCACTGGCTCACCTTGCCAGTAATAAAAAAAAGAAGCCAGACCTTCTGTTAAGTACACGCGCACATAAAACTGTGTATGTTAGTGTGTCCCTCAGTAGGAGGACAGACATCATTATCCCCATCCTTCACACCCTCCTGTCCAGGGGAGCCTTTTAATCTCCCTGTAAAAAATAAATAAAAATAGAATTAAATCAGATGAATGAAGTCAAATATAGCCCCTCCCCCTTCTCCCTGTGCAACATCCTCTCCTGTCGCACTGGGGCAATTTTTATAAGAGCCAGTTATAGGACATAATAATATTAGCATGGTGGTGACAGGCATGTGAAGCCAAGATGAATCTGGGATAAAAATAAAGGCAAATGAATACAAATGGTGTCTCCTTCACCTAGAGGGGTGAATAAATCATATGTGGACTAATGTGGTGTGTTCTCTCTCCAGCTCTCCTGCACCATCACACACACCCTCTCTTTCTCTTCCTCTCTTTTCTGTGGCCTTTCATTCTCCTGCTCACTCCATCTGATTAAGTTACAAAATGTCCTTCCGTATTAACAATAATCCGGCCAGAGAAGTGAGATTGAAAGCCTCTGCTTGCGGTACGTAGGTGTCAGAATGTAACAAATGCAGCAGACCTTGCTATCTGACTTATGTAAGTGGGCTGCCTGTAAGTGATGCTTTACTTTTGTTTGTTTGCCGCTCGTTTACTTATGTGGTCGATGGGAAACTAAAGCGCAAACTCGCACAAATAAAACTCTCAAATGTCTGCTGAAGTGCTCTCATGCTGTGTTATTTGTGAAAGTAGGATAGTGTGAGTAATTGAGTGGCTATTCAAATGCTTGAAACATAAGTTTCCATTTTAGCAACAGAAGTGCAATCTTAACCCGAGCATCTGCTGTAAACTCTGTTTTCACTTATAGTTTGAAAATGTGTTTTATCATTTGCAGTGCAAGTCAGATATAAGAAAAAATATTTTTGTAATATGCATAGGGCATATTGTTCAAATTTCCCATGGAAAAAAATCGACAGAAGTAAAATCTGGTGTAAGCCACGGCTAGCCCCCGCCTAAAGCTAAAGCTCTCTTGATTTTGTTTAGCTTTTCCTCGGTCTGTGGTTAGGAAATATCCACCTTGACAAAACAACAGCTTTGTATACGAGAAAACTAAATCAAATCATGATGGAGATACATTCAGCTAACATGGAAGGCTAGCTTTTAAGGTCAAATAATGTGGTTTGGTTAAGGTTTAAATCATACATTTAAATAAATAATAAAATCAATTTTCACTTAAATATATTGTTAGTAATGATAGAAAACAAGTTAATCAAATATTTACCCATTTGAATTACTAGTAAGAAGGATTTTATGGTGGATTCTGTTTTCCTCTTAATATGGTCAGAGTGCAGGATAGTATACTGTATGTCATATTAGCCTATGCAGTTGTAAAATGAAGGCTATCCATTCCCTATATGTTAAACCATTTTTCTCACTTTATTCCTCGATTAGTCACAGCTATTTGCGTAGTGCTTGTCAATTTGATGGTTCCTTTTCATGCATGTCATCCACATCATTCAGCATGTCCATTTGCTTACTGTATGTTTGGTTCATTTCAGCAACAACATTCAGTTTTCCATCTTGATGTTAGTGTGGAATACAAGTCTCCTGACCAGGCACGTCCACACATAGACATCAAAGTGGGCTTGATCCCCTGCCCTTTTTCTTCCTCAAGGGAAAGTGCCCTTTTTATGGGGTGCTTTTTTTTCTTCAATAAATGAATATCTACTGCTGTTTGCGCACAGTTTCCCTTTCCAAAAATATATTGATTGAATACAAAATAAAAATATCAGGTCGGGAGATTAGATTATGCGAAGTTCCGATGCTCTCTACCCCTCCCTCCCTCCTTCCCTCCACGTCTTGCGCACAGCGGTGCGGACAGTCATCGGCAGTCACTTCAGACAGACAGGTAGCAGCACCTCCCACCTTTCAGTCCCATGTTATGCCGGCTTTTCTTGGCTTGTTTGAAGGTGAGTGGTGATGAACAAATGACTAAGCTGCCAGTGCCTCGAGTTTACAGCTAATTAGCCAGAAGACAAAAACAAATATTGTTAGGCTAACTAAGGTAGGCAGCTAATGGATAAGTTAGCTCAAGGTTTAGCTAAGGCAACGTATCATGGGCATACAGGCTAATGTACTAAGGGGAGACACTACAGGTGAATGCAGTAAAATGTGTATATCTAAAACGTCATCACAATCGCCACATTGATATGCAAATTAGGCGTTAACTAGACCTAATTAAAATGCGCAAATGTGCATGCAGTTAAGGCATTGCAGGTGAAAAGGATCAAAAGAAAAAAAAACATAGCACCTCACAACTTCCCCAGATAGTTACTTACGTCAAGTCAGTATTTCCCCCTGAAATGTTGTTAAAATATGCAGATTAGCTTTATATCTATAGATGAATTCAGACAGGGTAGTAAAACGAACACCATTTATATGTGTTTTTTGGAAGTTTTCTTTCCATTAGAGTGGAAGAAAACATGGAAGCAAAATAGACCAAAATAACAAAATTACTAAATAAGACCATTGTCTCTGTGTTAACTGAATATTTTGTAGAATTCTGTTGAGTATTAAACAATTGCGTGAGTGTGAGGGTATTAAAATAAATTGGTCAGTAAGTCAGATATGTGCAACTATATTTAACTTTTTGTTTTAATTCTTTTTTTATAAATGATTATGGAAAGTGCCCTTTTTCTCACTTGAGCTCCTGCCCCCCAAAATGTCTGTGCATGTCCCTGTACACTACATTTACAAATGTGACTTAGAATAAGTGCAACAAGCCATGAAGCGACATACTCAAAAAAGCAAGTGCATTTCTTTTTACCATGGATCTGAACTTATATTATTTTATTAGCATGGGCTTGCCTCTTAACTGAATAAGGAAGCTGTAAGAACGTAAATTCCCCCTGTGGGACAAATTAAGGATTTCTGATTCTCAACAACAATAACTATCTAAAAATCCACCAACAGTCTGGTGCAGAGAGTAGAGCCATAATATCCATACCCATGCGCTCAAACCGACGACAACAGAACAATCTGGTCCAAGGTTTTGGAGCTACTGGCAGCACCGGGACTCCAACAGAGGACATTTGAGCAACTCTGATCAGCAACAGCTGCTGGCTGAACACACACCGTGAACGTACGTACACACACAACGACACGCTCGCACCAAAAATCTCATTTGTCATGGTGATGTGTCTGTGTATGTGTGTGTGTGTGATATGGTTGGCACTGGGTGGCTGGTGATGCCAGAGCGGAAACATCAACCCGTCGGGGGGGATTATACGGGTGTGGATAAATGGATTGATTGATTAATAAATGGATGAGAGCATGGAAGGAAAGGCAGAGAGAATCTGTAGCATTACGTCATCAAGTCTTAGTGTGTTCAAAATATTTTCTATTTCAAAAAGTTGGCATTTTATTCTCACTTCTACTTGGAAAAGTTGAACGCTCATGTCATGGAAATATATATTTATAGTGTGCGATGGAAAACTACTGGGAAAACAAAATGGGGAAGAATTTCCAGACGCTCTCTCCCCAACGAACATAATCGTATATTCAGCTGTCCCGACACTATTACATGCTCATTATGGATTTTGAATCATATTTGAGAATTAGTGGCTTATTTTGACTTGCTCATAAGGGGCAGTAGGCTCGGTGCAAAAGCACATGGGTCACTGCATACTTTTAAATGTGTTGGGGGAATAATACATCTTTTTAAATCGGCAATTGACTGATTGATTCAAAACATGACTTAAAGAGCCTAAAACGCCTCCATTGGACTCCTTTGTTTACTTCCATGACATAGTGACATCAATATGTAACACTTGTGCTTTTATTGGCTAGCACTCCAACACATTTCCAAGCGTTTGGCCAATCACAACAGAGGTGCACAAGGTACGAAGGAACCTGCAAATGTGCATAATAGGGCCCCTTTAAACTTCTTCTATGGATGATTTAAACCCTAAAACAGCTATTTAATTTGAATATCTATATATGTGTTGCCTTAAGTATTTGTGCTTTTTAACTACGTCATAGGCACTATAGTTTCAAAACATTGTCTGATTGCAGAAGGCTGTAAGTTATGCAGTGTTCTCAATTCCACTTTTCCTCGTGAACATTATACTGCTCGAAAATATACAGAGCTGTTTATTTTGTTACGATTATACATGGTAAAACATTTCCTTGCATTACCTCATGTAAGACAGCTGATTTGATTAGTACAGACAGCTGTTTATGTGGAATAAATATAAGAAGGCACGGCTAGTTAACCACTAGCTACCATTGCGAAACATAAAAAGAAAAATAAGAGCCACCTGTTCGTGATGTAGAACGTGTGAAAGATTGGGTCGTGCCGGAGAATTCTTGCAGAGGAGTTTTCTACTAAAAAAGTCAACATCTCCAGCAGCCGTCTGAAATGATTTGAGCTGTGAACGCGTTGAGAAGATTCAGCTGTGAGTTGTACGAGACTGCTGGGAGTAACACGCTCTTTCTACTGACTTGTGAATGACGAGCTGTAGGGTGAGTGAATAAGTGGCTCATTTATAGTAACTACTACTGTTACCCCATAAATCACACAGCATTGCAGTTATTACATTAAACTCAAATTACTATAAGGAATCGGTTGTGTTTGTTCTTGTGCTTCGACGTCTAGATTGGCGATCTTGGCTGTGACGTCTAACAGTTCATTGCTTTTCTTCGTAAAACGGACAAGTCAAATCAAGCAATCTGATTGGTTCTTAGCCGTGATATAATATATACGGGTAGAATTGTAGTTACTTTTCACAAGTCATGTATCCCTCCGCGTCTGAGAAAAGCTACAACCGTTACAACTGTTACATTACGTCCGTTACGAAATTAACTAACCA